GCAAAAACTCTGCTGGTTTTTATTCAGTCCATAGTTGGGTTCTGGTCTCCAGTCCCTTTGAGGTCTCCTGCTCTGTTGGGCTCTTCAATGAAGAACCAAAAGAGACCAGAATGCGTCTGGAAAATCCTTCATCATTAGAAGATGGTACATGGTTTTACCGTCAAGTTTCTTTTATTAGTCTTTTATGAGAAATAAGTTTCTTAGAACAATATTTGCTCCTTATTTAGAGACAAAAATGCCCTGCACTGGATGGGTGGCCTTTGGGATACCTCTGGCAGTTGTATCAGTTGCATTTGGAGTCCTGTGCTTCCTGTATTTCAGGAAGAAAGGTAAATGTTTGGTCTAAGTCAGAGAGCATGATATTTGACATTTAAATCATACAGATATTTTGATAAGTTCTAATTTCATACCTTTTTTTTATTTCAGCTAACAAGTCCAAATCTGGAGATGATACAACTGGTGGTAAATAAAACACAACAGACCCAAAATGTCATTGTTTTTCTATTAAGGGAGCAATCATGTAATTTTGTTTTGTAGTTGTTTAGTAGTATAACAAAATTTACATTTGTTACAAAAATGTATGATTTAATACCGAGCAACAATCTCATGGCACAAGTGTTAAAACTGAAGATGTTTAAATAAGACAGTAAGGACATGTTAAGTCCTTTGCAAAAGTATTTTCATCCATTTTCACATGTTAATCACATCAGATCTTCACTGTTTTCTGAAGGGAATGTACATGACAAACAAGGCAAACAAGCACATCATTGGAAAGTGAACTAAAAATGATAACATGGTTTCTAAATATCTTTGAAATAAATATTTGAACAGATCAATAAGATTTGAAGATATTTTTCCGTATTGGGTGCTGGTTACTCTGCTATTCCTAAATAAAAACTATTGCAACTTAAAAGTCATCCAATTAGAACATAAATGCATTGAAGGTTTGAAAATATTTTGAAATAATATTGTAGATATAGTCCACAGCCTTTTCATCGTACTGTTCAGACTTAGCTGCCATAAATGTGGTTTAAATGTGACCTTCCATGATTTCATTTAAGATTTTGAGACAAAACCAGTTTACAGCAGTAAGTCTGCTTTGGTACGGGGACTAAAGTAATTTTCCATAATGTAATGAGGAAACTGGTAATTCAATAATCAAATTAATTTAACTTTCTAAGAAAAAGTAAACAAATAAATAGGAAAATTTTCTTTTACAACATTAAGTCCAAATCGTCCATCTAGATATCAAAATATGAACCTCTTCATCCATCAGACCATCCTAGAAGTCTCTGTGTAACATCTTCTAACAAAAACAGTTACGACAGTAAGTCATGCAGGATTTACAATTCCTAAAGTTTATACTTTTATCTTTCAGGGGCTGGACTAATGAGCATTCCTAAAGGTAAGAAAGAAGACATAATTCATTCATACTTCTTTCTCTGTGTGAGTCAGTTTAATTAATTTCAGCTCAAGAGAATTTATTTATATAGTGTCAATTCACAGCATGTCATCTCAAGGCACATTTAAGGACGTTCAAGTTATTTTGATTTGCACTAAATGACTGAAGGCTTGAAATGAACACATTAAAAACATGAACTTATTACACATATTTACGGTGTTGGGTTCAGATTTTCAGTCCTACAACAATCTCACCTCCAAACTATAAATGTCTCTGTAAAATGTAAATGGTTTTAAAGCTCTGTTGACATTCGTGACATAAATGAATAAAAATGCATTTTTTTGCATTTTCCCCTTAGAGAATGAACCACTTCTGCCTACAGGTAGGACCCAGTATTTTAAGCTGCCTGTGTTAATAGAGTCAAATCAAAACCTTTATAATGCAAAATCACATTTCTAAGATGTTTTTTCTTCTTGCTTTTCTGTCCAGAGTCAGCAGCTCCATTGGAACCCTGGGAGTCTAATGGATATTATGGTAATTTTACATTTATTTAATATTATTATTTAGCATTTTTCTTTGTGATTGTATTGATTATAATCTAATTTTCCATTTTTAACAGAGAATGTTCAACTGGTGGACACAGGCAATAAGCTAATACAAATCAATGGTTCTATCCTGAGAGAAGATATTCGTGAGCATCCAGATGGAGACAGAGTCACTTGTCTCACTGCAGTCAGAGGATCACCTGGTTTCTCTTCTGGACGACACTACTGGGAGGTTTCATTAGCAAATACAGATATAGACCTCAAGAAGTCCTGGTGGATCGGAGTTACAGATAAACATGAAATCCCTCATGATGCAAGTTTCCCTCCAACCACAAAAAATGGTTTCTGGTTCTTGTCTTCTTGCCCCAACGAGGATACTCTTCAGTTTAGCACTGAACCAGAGACATTCATTTATGTTCAGTCAAAACCAAAAAGGGTCGGTGTGTATTTGGACTTTGACAACAGAGAGCTCTCCTTCTATAATGTGGAAGAGAAATGTCTGATTGGATCTCTGGCAGCAACATTTACAGGTGAACTGTTCCCACTTTTTAACCCTGGAAAAGGTGACATAGGAACTATGACAATAGTGCAGAGACCCAGAGTCGCAAAAACATTGGCTTTCTTTAAAACCTGGTTTCATAACTGAGACAATCAGTGAACCACTCACTAAAATCACTCTCTGAATATTAACACCACTGGATCAGTAAAATAAATGTTCAGACCTGTGTTATCTTTGGTACATGTGTAGATTCATATGTGATGTTTAAATGTGTGGTGCCTCTTAAGTGAAAATATACTCGTTAACCTGATCTTCTGTGTTTCAAGTCATTTTCTAAGCTCATATTAGCTGAGTTTAATACCTGCTGTAAAACTGACTGATCTATTTTTCTTTTGCCAAGAGGTACTAATACAATCTTTTATAGGAATTATTATAAATATTTTTATTATTATTTTTGTTATGTTGTTTTGAAGCTTTCTAAAATGTACATTCTTTGGAATAGCTCTCAAAGGGAAGTTTTGGAAGCTAATTTGACTTTAACATTTGTTTTATAGGTCAGTATATGATGTTTATATGATGCTTAATGGATATATATATTTCAGGGGCAACGTAGAAGCTAATCTAGTAGATTTTATTACTGCATTAGAGCTTTTTAGGCCCACAAAGCAGTGGGAGAACATGCATAAACTTTAATAGCTGAAACATTTTAGCCACAAGAATGGGAAAGCATGAATTATTTATTATATGGCTCCTCGGTAACATGAAAAGCTTCTTTGAGTCTCAATTGTAAATATTTACAGCCCATGGTACATCACAAAATAGTGGCACTTCAACAAGGTATTTTTACAGCTTGTTGAAAAATTGACTTTATAGTCAATCAAACTTGCATGAAACTTTTGAAAACTGTTAATTACCTTTAATTAGCATAAAATACATTTAAAAATATGGGTGAGGATTTGGATTTTTGTGTCTTTTCAGTTAACAAGCTAACATTGTACAAGCTTTTGGTATATCTCTGTACTCAGATTGTACTGATTGATAATTTTAGATAATGGATTCAAATTTGAAGGAACAACAGAAGATAAAGACCTGTGCACTCAATGTTCCTTCACTTTTTTACCACCGCTTGTTGTAAATGTTTTGTATTTCTAACTGAAGATTTCAGAACATTGTATGAGAAGACTTTTTTTTTTTACCAGGCTTCGTTTTATTTTATAAAGAAAACTATAATGCGTCTGTGTGTCATCTTGTTTGAGGTAAAAATAAGTCTGTTCAAAGCTTACTGTATGCAGCCCCTTTGTGATGCACATTTAAAAAAACCTATCATGTAGAAGCTTAATGTTGCTTTTATATGTGTTGTGTATTTGTTCTTCTTTATGTCTATGTGGACCATGAATATGTTGAATAAAGTAACCCATATACTTTAAATGCAGTTTTTTAAACAAGGTCTTAGAGGTTAGTTGGAGAACAAACAGGATCATGAGGACCAAGGGACAGCAGACAGATCACTGTCAGTAATTTCAGCTCCTGACAGGCAAAGATTTTAGAATGTCAACATTGAGCATATTTACAACAAGCAGGATATTTTAATAAATGTATAAGTATGAAGGAAAGCAGAATAATAAATGCTGCTCTTAAATGAAAAAATGTTTTGGTTTTGTTTAAGCCTGTAAATGAACTCCAAATATGTAGTTGCAGTTGCCCAAATATGTCTACAAAGAATCTTTGTAGGAAAACATTGCCCTCTGTTGACTGGAGCACATTTTGCAATAAGGTTGACATTTGTAGTCGAGTTCTACGTCTTTATGAGTCCCCATTATATGAAAATTAATAATTAAATATTCATCACAAAAGGAAAATAAATGTTGTATGAGAATGACTATTTATTGTAAAAATGCTTTTTGACAACAAAAATTATATTCTTGGAAAACCTTTTTTTTTCTTGTGAAATGGTGACACATTGTAAGGAAGATCTTCATGCACGTTAAGAATGGGATCCCGGCATATGTAACCTGGTTTTATTTCTCTTTTGTTATAATTACACAAAATGTCTTTTTTTTTTTT